GCTTTGAGGACTTCACTGACGACTTTTAAACTGCTATATGATACATTCCGTGGTTATCTTTGCATCGAAAATTAGTCAAAAGGTTTGCACAAATGTTTCATGTGTTCTGATATTTGTCTAATTGCTGAAGTGCTTGCGCTGAGGACAAACGTGATTTAACTATCTCGACTACTTGGAATAAAGGCGGATAAATGTCCCTAGGTGAAAAATGGCCTAATAAAGCGCCTTGACTACTTTAATTTTTGCTAAAATGAAGGTAACTCGGTCCCAATGCTCAGGATCAGCTCTCACGGTCGTATTTTCACTGTAATTCGGAATAGCATCGCACACCGAATGAAAGGCATTTATTTTACACGACGTTTAAAACATCCGAGTGGAGACAAAAATGGCGATGAGATTGTATAGCCCTGTGAACACGTAGTGAAGTGAGACATTCTGTCGTTTGTCGCTTTTGTTCTTGTGCAGCGTTATTAGGTTCTCCTCATGAAAATTCTGAGTGCTAGTGGTTTTATTTCATCTAATAGGCTTAAAGGGACTTTTTTGTTTGACTATGTGAATTGTAAAACGAGGCAGCGTGTCAAACCTCCTCTTTAGACGAAGAGAGTCCGCATTCAAAGAGGTGAAGAGATTAAGGTCTGCCGACACGGCCAGGAGCCACGCCGACAGACGAACGTTTAATTTCTCAACTTCCACACGGTCCACTATCAGCATCGGGAGGCAAAGAAAAAGCGCATTATTGTACTAACACAACAATATTTCTGGCTCGCACTGGTTAAATTTGCCATCCTTTCAAATACTTGAGCCGCCTGAAGGGTTTGGCATAGACCAACACGAATTATTTTAAAGGACTAATAACCAATGAGCCTTTTGCTGACCTTAAAAAGTATGTATGAAAAAATTTTAAACTGCTATAAAGTGCGGTAATTAGTCAGATTCTACTTGTAGCGTCCTGAGACTTCCTGACCGGTATAAGAAGTCAGTTAGTGCAGCTGGATACATGTATTCCGAAGACGACAGGACAAATGGGCCTGAGTATGGCCCCAAGACCAGCCCACGCGTACAAGGGCAAGAGGAATCCTAAAGTGACCGCCAAACGTCATATGGTCACATGAACAAAGTGCTGCAATACTGTTTAAACTTTGTAAAAGGAAGACCAGCCATAATATTGCTGACTGAAGAGCTGTTTACCGTCTTCAAAACACGCGTGTTTTCTACAGCGCAACTCATTTATGATTCCCTTGTGCATAGTGTTAAGATTGAGCTACGCACTTGCTGCCTTGTCTGCCCAAAACACCACAGAAGGTGCGATTTTACCTTCAGGCTGAGATTGTTAGAGCAGGGATTCATTTCAGGCCTGTAGTAGAAGCCAAGTAACACAGCTGATGTCCTTACTTCCGCGTCAATGTAAACTGAAAGAATCAAAGTGCGCAACACTGAGTAGGTACTGCCTTTCACAAAGAGAAATGGAGTCTTCACTCGTCACTTGGTGGCAGCGATCTCGGTCGTGACTGACGACGAAGAGGTGAAATGCTTTGCAAGAGGTGGCGAGGAGGACGCTCCGCCTTGATGGCTTCTCAGACTGCGAGCCTTACGTCAAAGATTTCATTAAAAATACAACTCTTCCGACGTGTCGGCTGTGCTGTGTTCTTAAAATGTCTTAAGCGTTGTGCACATACGAGAACTCTATTACTGAAGCAGGAGCTAGTATTTGAAAATAAAACAAAAGGTTAATTTTAAGATAATTAGGTTTAGAATATTTATGATGGAACGGATGTTGATCAGAATTACTTTAAAATATGCTTATTTTCTTGTCAGGATGACGAAAGAAAGCATTTTATTTTGAGATGTACGTTTATAACTAAAATGTGGAGCTAAATGATTTGAAAAATCCGAGACGCATTGAAGAGAACAAAATAAAAGTCCAAACCCTGGACAGTTCGTTTTTATCAACATTCGCGTAAAGAAAAGTAAATGGACGTTGAGCGCTTCCCTGACACTTCTGTTTTACTTAATGCGAAATTTTAACCTTTCTATTCCTGACACTTTTGGATGGCCTGTGTTGATGAATCACTGCATCTTGTCGGTGGTGGCATCGAAGCGTATCATGCAAGTGTCTTTAGGTAGGATTTTTAGGCAAGCGAAAAACCATTTGATTTGAAACAGCTGAGAGCTTGGATAATTATGCAGCGATTGGATCAGCAATGCAACGTTAATTAAAGACACCCCACTTCGAAAAAGATTATTAAGGAGCACAAAGAACACGAATCTCCAAGCTCACTACTAGATGCTTGAGCGTCGAGAGAGGGAAGCAGGTAAAGACTGACATAAGGCAGTGCAAAGTTTAGCTATATTTGGAGATCTTTGGGGTTGATGAATGTTACTATTCATCATTTTAAAGGCCGCAGCAATCTCATGCACATGTTGAAATGACAGAGGGAATTGCCAAGACCACTATTTTCTTTCTAAGCGGACAAGTGCAGGGACTTCAAAGTACCCCTGTTCATCCTCAAGGAAACGTTGATGCAGAGCACTACTGTAGTTAAGGCCTTTGCCCAACTCACACCACACAGTTGGACACTTGACGGGATTGACAAGCCTTCAGGAGATCACAGCATTGCCAGGAACTCCAGTACGTCTGCAATGTATATTTTACCAGGGTATTATCATTTCATGTGCTTTAAAAAAGACTCAAAACTCTAAATTTCGCTAGTCATGGCCACTTTTTCCATTTGCATTTGACACGTAAGAATTTTCCAAATGCGCCTCGAGGATGCGAAGTCATTCCCAAAGTCCTTCTCATGATCACATTTCAATATGAAAGCTCAACTACTCACTCAATAAGAGAGCCAAATCAAGAACATTTTCAATTGCGACTTATAAACAATGTTTAAGGGAAAGTTAAATAGCACCAGAAGTATGTTTTCAGACATAAAATATGAAAACGTTGGTTTTTTATGTAAAGCCTTCAAAACTGTTCTCAGTGACTTTTCACTTGTTTGAATATAAACGTACAAACACGAGCAACTTCGTTCTTTGCTGATCTCACTTCCGCCCGTATCATAGCCTTGTGCCAAAACCAGTGGCCTCCCAGCTTCTCACTCTCTATTCCTCTTACCTTCACATGCGCTCCGACACACTCCTCTGGCCTGCTGCGCCCTCAGCAAACACTAACCAAGCAAACCCGATCCACACGAACTACAGCTCTAAGTGCATACCAAACCCTACTGCAACAGAGGAGGACCATCCGCAAAGCATAAATGCCGAACCTGGTACAATCAGCACCAGTGGC